TATATATATATATATATATATATATATATATATATTTCCCACCTGATATATATCAGGTGGGAAATGTTTCATCCATCAGTCTTTATTGGTTTAGATTCTAGAACAGGGTAAAGCTCATTAAAAAAATATACAAACATAACTTTTTTTTGCAGTACAGCTCAGTTCAAACACTCAAGCGATGGAGACTGGTTTATTTTGTTACAAGATTTACATAAAACTATTTTGATGTTCAGTATGGATAGAAATGTGCATTTCTTGGCAATTAAGATTAAGTATGAATCTAATTTCAAATAGTTTCCAAACATCACAAGCCTGCATTGTGAAGTTTTTTGGGTTTCTTCTATGTAAACCAAAGCTGCTGTAAATCCTTATTATTCCGGTCAGTCTGAGTCATCAGCCCCATGCAAACTCCATAAATATAACTGGCTGCTGACACATTCATATTGATCAGAGAGATGCATCATGCAGACAGTATTAATGTAGGAATCAGTGTTGCATTATTGCAATGATGAGAAGAAGTTTTAGGGACATTTATTGGCTTAATCCCATGCACAGCCGCTTATTACTCCTGTAGGCTATGTTAAGTAATAGGCCCTAATGGCACTGAAGCAGCGTCAGGCTGACGATTCATCAAACCCCTTTAGTGAGTCACACTTTAACCATTTCAGCGCTGAATCTGGCTGCTCTGAACGCTGTTATGGCCAAAAGTACAAAACCACTCAGCCCCGCTGGTCTGCATTAGCTGGAGTTTAAAAACATCACTACATTAGGATGCATGTTTACCCACCTTTGTCCGTCGTCCACGCCGTTTCCGACACGGCGCCGTAGCTGCGGAGCGCTCGCTCCGTGTCCGACAAAGATTTCTTCAGCTCCATGTTGAAGAGGAAAAGAAAGATCCGGGAAGCAAGCGGGAGCCTTGGGGTAAATGTTGTACCCTCTCCTCCTTGTCTGTGTTTCTCCAGATGAGTCAGTGTTCACCCGGTGACAAGCGACCAGCGAACCCGAGACGCTGAGAGCATCTTCAGCCGAGGCTTCAAATCCTGAACAGATGTAAGGGATGCAGGGAGCATGCGCAGTGAGGGCGGGGATGAGGGGACCTGGGAGACACGGACTAACTCCAGGATCATGATGGCTCGAAAGAGGATTAGGCCACTGAAAAAAAAGGAAAAAAAAAGGTTAACCTCAGAATTCTGACGTTACTCAGAATTCTGACTTTAAAAAAAAAAAAAAAAAAAAAAAATCAGAATTCTGAATTTTTTTCCCCCTTAGAATTCTGACTTTAATCTCAGAATTCTGACTTTTTTTTCTTAGAATTCTGACTTTAACCTCAGAATTCAGAATTTAAATCTCGGAATTTTTACTTTATTCTTAGAATTCCGACTTTAAATCTCAGAATTCTGACTTTAATCTCAGAATAATTTTTTTTCCTCAGAATTCTGAATTTAACCTCAGAATTCTGACTTTAATCTTATCAAGCCATAGCCATGTATGTTTTATAGACTAAACTAGCTCTCTTGTTTTAATCACCTTCTGCTCTTCCATTAATGAAATATCATCACCAGGGACCCCTCGGGCACGTAAAAGGTCACCTAATTCCTTCTTTTTCCACCAATGTGTTTCTGGCCCTCCCAAACAACTCAAATCTTTGTCAGTGAAGCTGAGTGCTCCCACATCTCTTCCTTCATAGTGCCCATCTACATTAAGATCCAAAATTCTGAGATTAAAGTCAGAATTCTGACTTTTAAAAAAAAAATCAGAATTCTGAATTTAATCTCAGAATTCTGACTTTTTTTTTCTCAGAATTCTGACTTTAACCCCAGAATTCTGAATTTAACCTCAGAATTCTGGCTTTAATCTTATCAAGCCATAGCCATGTATGTTTTAAAGACTAAACTAGCTCTCTTGTTTTAATCACCTTCTGCTCTTCCATTAATGAAATAGCATCACCAGGGAACCCTTGGGCACGTAAAAGGTCACCTAATTCCTTCTTTTTCCACCAATGTGTTTCTGGCCCTCCCAAACAACTCAAATCTTTGTCAGTGAAGCTGAGTGCTCCCACATCTCTTCCTTCATAGTGCCCATCTACATTAAGATCCAAAATTCTGAGATTAAAGTCAGAATTCTGACTTTTTTCTCATATTATACAGAAGTAAAATTTAAAAATCAGTTAACTTTTTAAAAATTTTCAGTTGCCCTAATCCCCTTCCGTATGACGGTGATGGTGGCGATGATAAAAATAAAACAGCTGTGTTACACACACTTACAGTGAAGCATTTGGATTAGAAAATGTGTAAAGCAGAAAGTCTATGTGCGCAGCACATGCGTTATCTGCACCTTTCTCTGAAAACAGATAACTAAAGACAAAGAAAGGTGTAAAACATTTAAACATTACCTTAGTTTGGTAAATTACATTAATATTTTGAGTGTTAACTTTCCCTTTAGCTGTAGTTGTAGATCAGGAGCGGTTGTAGACCAAATTTACTGGGTGGCCAGCAAGTTTTTTCATTGGGAAGAGAAAAAATGGGTAAACAAAAACAGGGCAGTTGCTCATTATTTGATATTTTATGGGTGCTACAGAAGCAAGGAGCCAGCCTGCATTGAATGACGTGAGATTTCTACTTAATCTAGTTAATTTAAATATTATTTTGTTCTGATAAAAAAACATACAAATCTTGTTTAAAATGTTAATTTCACTTTATCTAAAATCACAAATAACTCTAAAGAGTAATTGAAATAATTAGTTAGTAGCTAAATAAATATCTACTTCAGGTTAGAAAAGTGGTAGTGTTGCATGGCTGCAGGGTTTGATGATGAATGTCACCTAATTGGATGACTATCTGATGAGGGGCGTTGTCAGTGATGCAACATCATCAGCAAAGTTACTGATGCAAAAAAAGAGACAGGTCCTACTAAATGTTTGAATAAGTTAGAAACGTAGACAAATGGCTTCAAAATGAGTGAAACATCTAAATGAAAAAAACTATAAAGTATTTAAATGGATATAGTTGCATGCTGCATTACTAAAATGTGAGGAAATAATGAGTTAGCTCCTGAAGTTCTGTCTCGATGGTTAATGAATACATTTGGACTAAAGTGAAATATTGTGATTTAAGAAAGCATGATGTTGGTGGTCTTTGGAGAACACTCATAATTCAGGAATATCACTTTTTTTTTAATACTTACTTAAAAAAAATATAAAATAAAAAATCCGCTGTAATCAAATCAGAATTAAAAGTTGCATGTTCATCAGCAACAATCTCATACTCCATTTAGCTTATTAAAATTTTCTGGAGCTTATGTAAAAAAAGTTTACCCCAATTTTTCTATAACTTATCTTTTCTTTCCAGTTCTTAGTGGGCTTACAATATTGTATTACAGTACTATAACATGAGAAACTATCTTATATATATTTTATATATAATATCTAGTTCAGTGAAAGTTTCCTGTAAGTTCTAGAACGTAATCATTTAGCATAGGGGAAGTAACTGGTAAATTCTTCATAAGGTATGAAAATTAACTACATTAATTCCCAAAGTGGAGTTTTGTGCAACAATAAGGTGGAGGACATGAATTTCTGAATAATCGTGATTGGACACCATGTACATTAGTAAAATAAGGACAAAATATTAATTTAATTAATTTGAAAATCCCAAAACCACAGAGATATCATGAAATAATAAAATGTAAGAATTTGTTAATTTGTTGATCACATAACTAAATATACTATTAATTATAAAATGCAGAGTTAGACATCTGATTAATTATTGTTTTATAATAAAATCAATCAAAAATACATTGAACTAAAAAAGAAAAGGCAATAATTTCATTCTGGGCGTGCAACAACAGTCTGGCTCTTTTACTTTGGGGGTCATAGACAGAAATATTTGGGAACCCCTGACTAATATATGAGAATACAGGCTGTTATCTGCTTTGATATTTTCCAGTTGCTTTGTGTTCAAGCACTTAGGACTCCCCTGTCCTGATTGATTACGCCTGGACTAATGTATCATTAATAAATAATTGAATTTAGGCGGCAATCTCCTTTGCTCTAAAATTAGTAAATGAGCAATTCTCTATATAAACCCAATAAAAAACACAATGAGTCAAAATAAAGTTTAATTTATTCCATCCATAATATAATCCTTTGTAATTAGTGCAACTAATGCAAGACAAGATCAAATCATTTTAAATATAGCACCAATCTGTTATTATGGAAATCTACATAAACAAAAGTCAGAGCTTTAATTGTGCAAACCAAACCTTAAATAAGCTGCTAGGAAAGGGAAAATTCACTTTTATGACATTTATGTTCCAGTGTTTTAAATCTCCACACAAATATTCCCTTAGCAAGAAAACATCCGGAAAAATATCATTTTACAAATAATACATTTTTACTTTCAAGGATGCAGTTTAAATATAAATAACACAAACAGGTGTAGCGTTTGCCTTGCATTTCAAAGATATACAATATTTACTCAATTATGAGACACATGAAATGTTACAGTCACATAACATCGCATGCTAATATCTTCTCCACAATATTAAAATAAAACAGAAGTGGGTATTTTTCTACAGTTTAAGAAGAAAAAGGAACTAAAACATTGTCAGGGCAGAAAATGACAGCAGGATCTGAAGATTTGTGTCTTAAAAAAAACAAGCTAGGTAAAACAACCCCATGCAGAATGGAGATATAAAATAGCAGAATATCAAATGGAATTCATGTGAATTGGAAGAACAGGTGGGAGGGATTTGGAAATTCAACTAAACTTATTAAATCAAATGGAAATTAACCAGAAACTACCTTCCACATGGAAACTATCAACTGTACTATTTCAGTCGTTGTCTAGAGGTGGTTAGGCTTATAAAATTATAGTATTTCCTATAAAACAAAAAGAAAATTTTGCTGAAAAGTACCTACCAGTACAAACATGTATAAAACATGACATAATAAAGAGAAAGCAGCCAGTGATCTTCTGCTACTCTTTGACACTTAAACCTTTCGGCACATCTTATAAATTCAAGATATGGCATTTTTTCGCAGTGATTTACTGCTGGATCTCAGCATTCATTTCTGCAGTGATTCACTGTATTAAACTGCATGTAGTTCCTCTTTTAAAATACAGAATTTAAACCTTGGGATTATAGAAGATAAGGCTCCCCATACAGAAGACTCAATAGGACACTAGTAAATTAACGCCGTATGAAGGGAAACTATTGTTAAACTGAGGAGACTGCTTGGAGGACGTGCTAAAGCTAAGACAAGAAGAGGTATAGAGGGGTGGGTGTGATATTTTAATGTCCGATTAAATCAATTCAATCCCATTCCACATAGTGGAAATTAAACCTTGTTGCACCTTGCAGTTAGTATCATGTCAGTCGATTTAAGCTGATGAGCTCTTAAATATCGTCAGCACTAGTAACCTTGTTCAGATGAGCAAAAGGCTGTTTGGCTGGAAGTGAAACAACAGTTTATGCTAAAAGAAAAGAAAAACATGCTGATTGCTCAGCGTTATGTTGGGAAGTAGGATTTGATCGTATTGTTTACATTTATGTTTCATAAATGTAAAACCTGAACTCATTCACTGGGTGTTTGCAGCATCAGTGAGACCTTAGCAGACGGGTCTCACAAGGTTTTTGTAAAACGAAGCCATGAGAGGTAAGAGAGCAGGTCCTGTCTGCTTGACCTGCTGCTCCCTTTTCAGACACGCTGTTTTCATCCCTTTAGAGCAACAGGCATTTCTGCTACTTTACAGCCCTGGATGCTGCTGCTTCCTCTACCTTAAGCTTTGAGTCTTCTTCCTTTTTGGACGGTTCTGCTGCATCCTCTTTAGGTGGGAACATCCATGCCAGAGCGGCTCCAGCTGTTCCATCCCCGGTCTGACGTGAGAAGCAGAGGAAGGTGGCCCAAATGAAGGCGCAGCAGCCGGTGAAGGCGGTTCGCACGTACAGAGGCACCAAGGCGAAGTTCAGAAACTTGGGGAGACAGACACCATTTATAATGGGAAACACTACTGCATGGACACACATAGACAGAAGCTGATAACCCGCATCAGGTTAGAGATGCTGTTGTTTTAAAACAGGAACATTAGAGAAAGCACCAGAGAGAGTAGAGCCTCCTCCAGCTGTATGCAGCCTAGCTAGAGTTTCTGGTTTCAGATTGTTAAACAGAACGGCACTTGAAAAATGCTACTTAATTGTTCCATGTTTGTGCTTTAGTGTATTATTTAGAAGCAAATGAACAAATACATTTCAAAGATAATAATTGGGCCTGTTCTGTTACAGATAAAAGCAATTACAGATTTTTTTTTTATAAATATCATGAAATTCAAGATGCCAAGTAACGTTTACTCAACTTTTAATTCTGAACCTCTGTATCCATTAAGTATTTCCTTAATTCACCATACTTTTACCAGTAATCAGCTATTTGAATTCTATATAGATAAGTTTGATTACCGGTATATTAAAAATAAGATCATTGGCACCCCTGAACTCGGTTAGGACTGTTTTGATCCAGTTCAACTTTCAGTCACCAAAATTACTATGTTCATCTAAGCCTTCAACTTGTATAATAGACCAAGTTCCAACCAAGTTATTTAAGGAAGTATTCCCACTGGTTTCCACCTCCACTAATGATATTCTCATGGCTTCAGATAATAGACTTGGATCTATACTTGTCCTGTTAGATCTCCTTGCTGCATTTCATACAGATGATCATAATATACTCTTAGAAAGTTATAGCCTTTGGACCAGAGTCTTTGAAAAAGAAGAAAATTGGTGTTATTTTTGTTTAGGACCTGTAATTTAAATTGCATATCAAAGAGGTTTCTAGAATTTTCTTCTTTCATCTGTGGAATATTGCAGAAATTAGAAATATCCTGTCCTGGGGTGATGCTGAGAAACTAGTCCATGCATTTGTTACTTCAAGGCTGGACTATTGTAATCCTTTATTATCAGGAAGTCCACAAACTGTAGTCAAAACCCTACGGCTGATCCAAAATGCTGCAGCCAGAGTTCTGATGAAAATTAAAAAGAGAGATCATATCTCTCCTATCATAGCTTCTCTTCATTGGCTTTCTGTTAAATGCAGAATGGCACTTAAAATCCTCCTTCTCACATATAAAGCCTTTAATGGCCAAGCTCCATCTGATATCAGAGATATGGTTGTTCCTTATGTTCCTGCAGGTTTACTAGTGGATTCTAGAATTTCTAAAAGTAGAATGGGAGGCAGATCTTTTAGTTATGAGGTTCCTCTCCTGTTGAACCAACTACCAGTTTTAGTCCATGAGGCAGACACCCTGTCTACTTTTAATTGTAGGCTTAAAACTTTCCTTTTTGATAAAGCTTATTAGTTAGAGGGGCTCAGGATTTCCTTAGCTATCTCTGTGGTTGTGCTGCTATAGGCTTAGACTGCTGGAGGACATAGGGACCCCTTGTCATTATTCTGCTTCATTCCGACTCTATTCTCCCATTTTGCAGAATTTGTTAGATCGATAGCTTCATCTGGTCTGTTCTTGTTTGGATTTGACACCATCCTGGAGAGAAATATCAGCCGTGCTGCTACCATCAGCAAATTCAGTTATAGATGATAGAGTTGGGCCTGATTTTTGTGTTTAGTCTTGTTTCTCTGCTAGACATAGCTATGGGTTCAGCTTATACTGTGACTAACTGCATGAGCTCTCTTTAATCCCTCTGACATAAAAACTGACTCAATGCAACATAATGCCATTGAATATCTATTATCGCCACATTCTATCCAGGAGCTGTTTTTCTTTCTTAGAAAATGTTTTACCAATTTGACTGTGTGATCTGATTGAATTGTGTCTCTCTAAACCATCCTTAGACGATGTAATGGGAATTGGTGCTACATAAATAGAATTGAATTAGGATCTAATTTTATTTGAACAGTTTTAGACATTTTATAAATTTATTAAGTGTCCGCACTACATACTCACATGGATTTTGCTTTTAGGAATATTTCTATAATGCAACTCTTTACAAATATCTGGTAACCATTTAATTCTGTGACTTAGAGGCTTTTGTCTCCTTGGTGTTAATCTGCCCCCTTGTTAATCTGTTAAGGATCAGAAGGTGTTAAATACATGTGGGAAAGTGTCCAGGATGCATCCAGGTCCAATGGCTCAGGCCACATTCAGACACGATCCAGAGAACATGTTTTACTGGAAATCTGTTCTGGGCAAAAATAATCTAAAAGCTTTACATGAAAAACTCAAACCTGAAAAGAAAAATAAATAAATAAATGTATATATATATATATATATATATATATATATATATATATATATTGTTAAGCTTTTGGCTTAATCAAAAATATGAAAATAATTTTCTGGAAATCATTTCAGTCAGGGCTCAGTTACAAGGAGACATTTTTCGGACAGACACAAAAACACTAGCCTGACGTAGTCCGACTCAATTCTAGTCAGAATATGAGTCTGATACTGCTCCATAGAGCTGTGATTATGGGGCGTGTTTCGAACGAACCAGGAAAAAAAATGCCTCTGCACTCAATTGGATAGACCTACAACCAATAAGAGCAACGGAGTGCGTGACGTATGTTAAGCGAGGCATAGTTGTTGTCCACAAAAATCAAAGCGTGCAGTTTCACGCCTAGAATAAGAAGATGAGACTTGATCGCGTTTCTCTGTTCCTCTTTTAAAATTAATTTGCTGTCGATATCTTCTAGAACAGCCCTAATAGCAGAATCTACTCACCTAAACTCTCCAGCGGCAGCCATTATTGTTGTCACCCAAGCGCGCATTGGTCACGTGGTTGATTACGTTACTGTTGGTGATCTGTCCATCATCGTATAAAGTCCGCCCTGACAATTTGATTGGATCGCCTGACAGTGGGCGATAATACTCGCGCTACTATGGAGCAGAGCCAGACCGAACTTCCCCGAACTCAAACCTTGTGGGCGGGACTAAGTTCGGACTGGCACCCAGGCTACAAAAACACCACCTTCTTGGAATCAACAGTGATGCGTGCTCTTTAAAACCTTAGAATTAACCACAATTATTCCTTGATAGACTCTGGAGTTGAAATTATTTTGTGAAGATAATATGTAAATAATTACCTGCATGAATGGCCAGAACATCAGCCCAGTCTGAAAAGACACAAAAAAAATCAGACTTAATTTCACCTGTAAAATGTGACTGTAAATGCATGGAAAGAAAATGTTAGTTTAGTAAGCAACTGTGACTTTTTTCATGTTCAATGTGGCAAAAACCAACCAGTTTCCCTGGTTCCTCTGTGGTAGACTGAAAAATTCTAAACTCTTCTTGCCCAGAAGTTTCAGATCCTTGACTGACATTTAAATAGTTTCCTAAAATGTAAATGTGTGCAAACCATTGCTAGTGTTGATTTAAAACAGTTTCTTTCAATTAAGATGGAGGAATAATGCACCATTAACACACAAAAAAGTATAAAGTGTGCCGTTCATTACCAAGATGGATTCATCCCCGCTGAGTTGTTTTTTTTTTATTAGAGGGGTAAGGAATAAAAAGAAAAAAAAAAGGAAATACAAAACTATATTAAAGCGAACCGGCAACTATAAAATTTGCCCAGAAATGTTGTAGAAAACATTATCAGAAGTGCTGACAATAGAAGAGCCAGTGAGGTTTGGTAACCAGATCCTGTCGAAAGTGAGTGTTAAACAGGAACTCTGAAATGTGAAGTAGCTTTGGAATGGATGCCAAACCTTGTGGCAGAACCGGTCTTGAACCTCCAAACATTTCACAGCCATCCGTGCTCTTCCAAAGCACTGATTCATACTGTGTTATATCAGCAGCCCAGAATGATAATACTGTAAACAAACTTCAACATACAGGGGGACCAACAGGTGGTATCCTCCTTTTTCACAAGATACGGACTATTTGTATTCTCTCTGCCTGCTGAATTAATTTTCCCCCATTCTTTGTCAAATATAATTTGAATAGATCCATATTGTTTCAGACCTACCTTATATGTGTTTAGGAACTTTTCCCTCCAGTCCTCCAGGATGTCTTCTTTGCCCTCCAAAAAACTGACACCTGCATGAAACAGAATATCCCAACGAAAAACAATTAATAGAAAGTGGGGGAAAAAAAGATAGTTTAAAAAAAATAATAATAAAAACTATTAATGGTATTATCTAAAAAAAAAATCCTACAACTTTTTATTTATTTTTTTCTAACAAACATTAGTCATTTAAAAAGAAGTAGCTTTATATTCAGACGACATAATAAACTGCAGAGGTTCTACTAGAAATTGTATATTGAAGGAGTAGATGTTTGGACCTAATTAATTTCCGATCTAATTAATATGCATAGAGGTTTCGACAGGTACAATGCATTTAATAATAATATCCGTTTCATTATAATCAAAACTCGGTACAGCAATGTTATCTTAACTCAGTTTACATTTGGTTAACTTTTGGAGAACTCTATCTTTTAGAAGTTGAGTTACCGCACTGTACTTTCTACCTGAGTATTATCATCATGAAGGTTTGCTTCTTTTATAGTTGAGAGTAACTAAATGAAGACCCAAAAAATTTAAACCACAAATGCAACAGATGCACATTTGTGATTCAGTTTTTCATTATTCTGATAGTATTTTCTATCTGTTAAAGTGTAGAGATCAAATGAATATAGAGAAAACAGAAGATATGTATCTGGGAGTACTTTACTTTATTGAAAGTTTCGTAAATCCTATGTTGGAAAATCACTCATTTGGAAAATAATGTGTCTGTAACGGTTATTTTGTCATCGTTTTAGAAATCCTCTTATAAAGAAGCACATACATCTTTTTATTTTTGTATGTCTGATCATCATATTTTTAAATAATTCAAATAAATGTCACCTTTTTTCAAACAGCTTTTACTCTTACTTGGGTATCTTCGTGGATGGCTACTTTACATTTTGACTTTAGTATTTTTTAGGGACAAATTTTGCAATTTTTAGTTGAGCTTGGCAGTGCTACTTTCTGATCAATGTCTTAAAATTCAAGCCCGCTGAGCGGAGTTCTGGTTTAAAATTTTCAATTTGATTCAGTGTTTCACTTTTTTTGGCAGCGCATTGAATCTCTCAACAACATATATAAATAATTTATCATAAATAATATGCATTGTTTTTACAGTTCTAATGTTAGGCTTAAAAGAAGTAGGCAGCTTGGTTATATGATAGTTTTAATAAAGTGAAGGAAAAAAAACTGCTTTAATGTTTAACTCATAACAGAAGCAGTCATCCTAACTAGATAAATGCTTTCAATTATTTAAATTACACATTTTCAGAAAGCATTTTATTAGCACTATAAACTTCTTCTCAGTTGATGATATTGAGGGGTAGTATGCATACAACTGTACTTTAGGCAGTTGGTTGGTTAACGATCAGGTTAAACACATGCATTACAACGTAGTTCTAAAAAGTATTTGAAACACAAAATATGTTGCAATTTGTGCAGCACTGGAACAATATTAGTAAAATAAATGCTGCTACTTGGAAGTTATGGTATTTAACAGGACAGGTTAGTTTAATGTTAATGTGCAAGATCAATTATGAACGAAGAACTAGTGCAGGGGTCACCAACGCGGGCACCGAGAGGCCCTCAAAGACCACATGGGGTGCCCTCAGAGTCTTCTAAAAATAGAACAACTCAAACAAATTTGAAATGTTATTTTTTTTTCTCTTGCACCTGTATTTAATTATTTATAGAGCATTTCAAAATGACAATGTCTAAAATAAAATTAGAAATGAAAAGAAATATGTTTATAATGTAATAAGAAAATTTTAAGAAGTTAAAAAACAAACCACTGGATGTTGTTTTCCAAGTTTGAAGACATTTCACTTTCCATTCAGGAAACCCCTTTAACTTTTTTAATTTTGATGGAATGACTATGACCTGGACGACTGGGAATCTTCACCAGAGTCAGAGTTTACCTTAACTTCTTTAAGGTGAACTCTGACCCTTGCAGTTCATGGGTCAGTATTGGTAACCTTCCTATGACTCAGTACAGTTGAAGTGGCCCTCATCCTTAAAAAGGTTGGAGACCCCTGATCTAATGTTTCCCTGTATGCAGCTATCAAAACAGTTCCTGTCTTGGGTTTGATGGCTCAGAGAATGTTTTTCCTGCCATTTACCTGTCAGTGACACAGATTAATCCTATAGAGGAGTCACTGAAGAGAGTTCTCTAAACGTCCAGGATCTTCTTTGGTGTCCAAACCAAACCACAGAGTTACAGAAGTGCTTTAAGCAAACTAAAATGGAGGCTGATTGGAACTGGATCGAGTGGAGGAAAGAGTACCGTCTCTACTGAGATACATAAACATAAGAGCAGGTGTTGCTTGCCCACATCAATATTGGTGTGGTAATGATAGAACCTTAAAGTTCTAAAGTTAAAATAGTACACCCAAAACATGATTAGCCTTCATTTTCTACTCACCCCCATGCTGAACAACACTCTGGAGTCCTTTTTTGATATCTCAAATGCATCTGGAGATCTGGGAGGCTTCTTGCTGTCTGCTGACATTCAAATAATGGAGGTCTATGGCGCCCGAGACAGAAAGGTCCATAAAAGTCCACAAAAACGTGTCAAACCAGATGAAAGTGCGCATTCA